GTGTTGTGATCGTGCAACAATTATGGTGAATAATAAGGAATCAAACAATTAAGAAAGCAAGAGAAAATAACACACAAATTTAAGTGGTTCGGCAATGTGCCTATATCCACAGGAGATAGCGGCCGTTTTTTTTCATTATTCAAAGTAGGGTTACATCTTAAGTATTTATATAACCCTAGTACGGACGTATTTACAAAAATACCCCTGTACCGCACCCCCAACTAATCAGCGTCTCCCCATACATAAAATATATCAATCCCGCAAGGCAGATGCCGTCGCGGGCTCCGCTACGCTCTGCCCGCTCCGGCATCTACTTCATTGTCATTGTGCACACAGCAAATATGAGCCACACATACTCTAACAATCTCCACCTTGGCAAATATTCACTCTTTAGGAGAAAAAAAAGAACATGTATTCGAGAATTCTACCGGGGACGCTAAGTTGGGGCATCTCCCATCTAGTAACTAGAGACATTAATCAAGTCCAAGCAGTACTTGAACTTGTCTGTAATAATAGATTTTGTCAACATGTCTGTTGCATTCTCAGAAGTGTAAACTTTCTCAAGTAATAGTTCACCAGAAGAAATCAATTCCCTGATCTTATGAAACCTCACATATATGTGCTTGGTGCTCACATGATATACCTAGTTTTTTGCTAAATAAATGGCACTCTGACTGTCACAATACAACTGAACTCCACCTTGCTGGGCACCCAGCTCCTTGACCAAACCTGTAAGCCACAAATCCTCCTTGGCAGCCTCAGTTACTTCCATATACTCTGACTCAGTAGTAGATAGTGCAATTATAGGCTGTACCATGGACTTCCAACAAATAGGTCTTCCCACAAGAGTAAACACATAACCTGTGGTAGACCTCCTATCATCCAAGTCCCCTGCATAGTCTGCATCCACATATCCCATAACTGAAGGGTCACTCTGTTGTCTGCTAAACATGATGCCATAGTCTGTAGTGCCCCTCAAGTATATGAAAATCCACTTCACTGCATCCCAATGTTGTCGACCCGGATTTGAAAGAAACTTGCTAACCACGCTGACAGCTTGTGCCAAATCTGGTCTTGTACAAACCATGACATACATCAAGCACCCCACTACACTAGCATATGGGACCTTTGACATGTCATGAACTTCATCATCTGTCTTCGGGCACTGAGTGGTAGACAATCTAAAATGATTCGCCAAAGGTGTACTTACTGATTTTGCATAACTCATGCTGAACTTGTCCAACACCTTCTCAATATAGTTATGCTGGAATAGCCATAATCTCCTGAAACTTCTGTCCCTGCGAATCTCCATCTCAAGAATCTTCTTAGCCGCACCTAAATCCTTCATGTCAAATTCGCTGCTTAACAAAGTNTGTCCCTGCGAATCTCCATCCCAAGAATCTTCTTGGCCGCACCCAAATCCTTCATGTCAAATTCTCTACTCAACAAAGTCTTCAACTTGTTGACCTCACTCATACTCTTGGCAGCAATCAACATATCATCCACATAAAGTAACAGAAAAATAAATGAATCATCATCAAGGATTTTCACATAAACACAGCAATCATACTCACACCTTTTGTAGCCAATCCGGATCATGTAAGAGTCAAATCGCTTGTACCACTGCCTCGGAGATTGTTTCAGCCAATAAAGTGATTTCTTCAAATTACAGACCAAATGTTCCTCTCCAGGAAGACTGAACCCTTCTGGTTGTACCATGTAAATTTGTTCCTCCAAGTCGCCATGAAGAAAAGCTGTCTTTACATCCATCTGCTCCAACTGCATATCTGAAAGTGCTACTAGTGCCAACACTGTCCTGATGAAAATGTGTCTGACTACGGGGGAGAAGATCTCATCATAGTCAACCCCGTTTCTCTATGAGTAACCCTTTGTTACTAGACGAGCCTTAAATTTTTTTCCCTCATTTTCTGATACTGCTTCTTTCTTCTTATACACCCATTTGCACCCTATCGCTCTCTTCCTCTCGGGAAGCTCCACCAACTCCCATGTCTAGTTCTTATGAAGAGACTCCATCTCCTCCACCATAGCACCCATCCATCTACTTTTCTCTTGGCTTTGTACTGCTTCTTGAAAAGTTGTAGGATCCCCGCTGCTAGTAATAAGCACATAAGAAACCAAATCTTCAAAATCATACCTGGTAAGCGGCTTGATATTGCGTTTGGGCCTGTCTGTGGCTATACTGTGATGTTGCTGATCACCTGAGATAGAACTCTCTACATGCTGAGCATCCTCTTATCTACCTGGTTCTCTAACTCTACCTGCACCACATGCTCATTAGTGCTACAGTTTTCTGGCACTCGTTTATCTTCTTCCTGAGTACGTTGCAACATGACTTTTTCATCAAAAACCACATCTCTACTGATCACCATCTTGTTTACCTTCGGATCCCAGAGCTTGAAGCCTTTCACCCCTTTCTGATATCCCAGAAAGATACACTGTCTAGACTTCGCATCAAGCTTCGACCTCTCCTCACTAGAAACATGTACATAGGCTGGACATCCAAACACTCTCAAACCAGAGTAGTCTACCTCACTACCTGTCCACACACCTCCTCTAATACTTTCCCATCTAGTGCTGCCCTCGGTGATCTGTTAATCAAGAAACATGTCATATTCACTGCCTCTACCAAGAAATTCTTTGCAAGCCTTGCATTCAACCTGAGACACCGAGCTTTCTCGGCTATCGTTCTGTTCATCTTTTCCGCTACACCATTTTGTTGTGGTGTCTTGCGGACTGTGAAGTGACTCTTGATCCCATGCTACTCACACAACTCCTGGAACTTTGAATATGTGTACTCAGTACCATTATCTGACTTGAGGCATTTAATCTTCCTCCCTGTCTGGTTCTCTACTTCAACTTTCCATAGCTTGAACTTGGCAAACGCTTCGGACTTGTGCCGCATGAAGTACACATAGACCTTTCGCGAGTAGTCATCAATGAAACTCACGAAATACATGTATCCTCCCCGTGATACTACACTAACTGGTCCCCAAAAATCTGTATGGACATAGTCGAGAATTCCCTCTGTCTTGTGTGTGGTTGTCTTGAATTGCACCCTGTTCTGTTTTTCAAGAACACAATATTTGCAAAAATTGAGCTTGCATGTCTTGACACCCTTCAATAGATTTTTCTTATGAAGCTCTATCATCCCACGCTCACTCATACAACTCCACCTACAATCGTGGTACCCAACAGTCTGTAAATGTTTCCTGCNCAGCAACTCCACCTACAATTGTAGTACCCAGCAGTCTGTAAATGTTTCCTACTACTTTCTGTCCCTTCATCACTGTCAGCATGCCTTTACTTACTTTCATTACTCCACTTATAGATTTGTAACTATAACCATTACAATCTAAAGTGCCCAATGAAATCAGATTCTTCCTTAGATCCGGTACATGTCTAACATCACATAACATTCTAACCACACCATCAAACATCTTAATTCTAATATTTCCTATTCCAACAACTTTGCAGGATGCATCGTTACCCATCAGAACAGAACCAAAATTTACTGACTTATAGGTGTCAAACCAATCTTTATTGGGTGTCATGTGATAGGAACATGCTGAATCCATAATTCAGGAATCTGTTAGACGTTCTGAACCGGATGAAACAGAAAGCATATCACCGTCACCGCTCTCTGAATCTTCTTCTTCCACTACGTTTGCAGACTTTGATGGACCCTCTTTGTCCTCTGAATCCCCTTTCTTTTTCTCTGGACAGTCCCGTTTAAAGTGCCCCTTTTTTTCACACTTGTAACACGAGAGGGAGACATCCTTCTTCTTCTTCCTCGACTTGGACCGGGCTTTATTGTTACCCAATCCATTCCGAAATTTACTTCTTCCACGTTGCTGGTTACCTTTTACCACAAGCCCTTCACCTTGTGAAGCCTCATCACTGACTTTCTTTCACTGATGAAAACATAACAGAGCACCTGTGACATCCTCCAACTCGAGGGTTTCTTTCCCCCACATCAGAGTCGTAACCAAATTCTCGTACGTAGGAGACGCTGGTAGAGAATTCAGCAACATCAACGCCTTGTCTTTGTCTTTGAACTTCACATCAACTCGCTTCAGATCGCTGATGATCTGATTGAACACGTTGATGTGTTGGGTCAGATCTGAGCCCTCTAACATCTTAAGACCATATAGTTTCTGCTTAAGATAGAGCTTGTTCGTCAACGACTTGGACATATACCGACTTTTCAGTTTTAACCAAACTTCCACCGGTGATTTCTCATCCATGACGTGATACATCATGTCATCAGTCAGACAAAGCCTAATAGTCGCCACAACCTTCGCTTCCAATTCTTTCCAATCCATGTCGTCCATTCCTGTCGGTTGTTTTTCGTATAACGCCTTCATCATGCCCTTCTGCACTAACAGGTCCTTCACTCTCCTCTGCCATAATCCAAAATTCTCAGTTCCATCAAACTTCATGATGTCAAATTTTGCAGAAGAAATCTCAGACATCGTAGCCTTTGCTCTGATACCAGTTGTTGTGATCGTGTAGCAATTATGGTGAATAACAAGGAATCAAACAATTAAGAAAGTAAGAGAAAATAACACACAGATTTACATGGTTCGGCAATATGCCTACATCCACAGGAGCTAGCGGTCATTCTTTTTCATTATTCAAAGTAGGGTTACATCTTAAGTATTTATATAACCTTAATATGGACGTATTTATAAAAATACCCTTGTACCGTACCGTGGGGGCGTTGCCCCCACACCCCCAATTAATCAGCGTCCCCCCATACATAAAATATATCAATCCCATAAGGCAGATGTCGTCGCGAGCTCCGCTTTGACATCTGTCTCCTTGCTATTATGCACACAGCAAATATGAGCCGCACATACTCTAACAAAAGGCTATTTGTGTCATTTCACACACACCTTGATCTATTTAAAAGCACCACACAACGGACTGCCTATAGTGAGAACTGAAGAATGTCTTTTTTCTTAAAAGTTTCAATAGAGAGGGGGCGCGACAATCAAGGAAGTGGCCGCTCTGGCCATGGTCCCCGCGACTCCGAAAGTAATCGTGGTGGCGGTGGTGGTAGAGGTGGGAATTACCCACGTAACCAGCACCAGCAGCGGGGTAATAAGCCGGGTCAAAGAGGTCAAGGAGGTGGAAAGTATAGCCCACACCAACATGGTGGTCAGGGTGTGGGGCCTACAAAGGTGGAATCAAATGAAGGGTGTGTGGTTGGTGGAGGAGGAGGAGCGGGTGGTGGAAGAGGAATGTGGATTGGGAGGCCTTGGGGACCCATTTTTGTGCTTGGACAGTCCCAACCTCAGTCTTTGCCTGGTATACCTCTTAACTGTTTTATTTACATTTTACTTTGA